AGACTTAAGAAGTGATAGAGAAAATATTGAAAGTGCAGATTAAAACTAAAATTATGTCATGACTACAATTTTTTCTCAGAGCTGGTTTTTAAACCTTTACCAGCACATTATCAGGTACATGTGATTTGATTGTAATATACTCTCCTTGCTAACTGCCTTCTATCCTTATGTTCCTTCTCTTGCTCCGTGTTCAGGGAGGGTTAGCCAGAGGTGTGAAGGCTTGCTGCGCCCTTTTCAGGGCTACTCATTCACTTCTGGTATCCACCTTTCAAATAGCTCTTACCTGTGGCTCCAAAGAGCTGTAGCGTGCACAGCTGGCCACACTCAGGTAGACAGGCTAAACCAGGTTGTGGGTAACCATGAGGGCTCAAACTCATGAACAAGTTAGGAATATGTCTACCCCAAGCATATGAAGACTTCCTCTAGCAGAATAGGCTGATGACAGCAATTTGTTCCAAGCTGAAGCAGGTGCTGTGGAGTGCTTCGAGCTTGGTCAGACATCAGAAAGGCTGAGGTCATCCACTGCATCCTGGGCCATCATCAGTCATCCTGATTTTTTTTTTCTGCCACTGGACTTTGATGAATTTGGAAGAGAGAGTGAAGGCTATAACTTTGTGAAACTGCATCACATACATCATCAGTCCTCTTGGAAAATGAAGAATGAGGGGCAGTTACGTGGCACAGTGGATAGAGCACCGGCCCTGAAGTCAGGAGGACCTGAATTCAAATCCAGCCTCAGACATGTAACACTTACTAGCTGTGTGACCCTGGGCAAGTCACTTAACCCCATAGCCTAGCAGAAAAAACAAAAACAAAACAAAAAACAAAAACAAACAAAAAAAGAAAATGAACAATGAACAATGCTACCATCTGAGCACAGTAGATATACTCAATCCATATCTCTATGATGTTGGATATCCAGTTCAGAACAGAAAATAGACAATCATTTTAAATCCACACATTTGATTTTGGAGTTAAGTCTGAAAAGCTTCTGAAAGCAAATGTTATTGTTTTCATTTAGATACTTGGTACAACATATACACAAATTATGAGTTCCTTTACAAATCAAAATGGGCATAAATAGACACCAAACAAATGATAGAAAAGAAAGGTTTTTCAGTTTTTCATTAACTCACTGACTAATTTCCTTCAAGTTTCTTGTCATATATTACTTGCTAATTGATATAAGAATTCATTGGACTTCACTAAATTTTTCATAGAACCTTGGAGCTCACCATAGTCCAAAGGCGTGAGACTCAATCCCATACAAAAGGATTCCTGTGGGCCCCATATTGGTTTTAAAAACTACATTTTAACATTATCTATGTTGTATTGTATTTTTATTTACTTTGTTTTTATCAATTATATTTTTATCTGGTTCCTGCTACTCTCAGTACCTTCATCACCTAACCCTCTCTAGGGCCTCAGTTTCTCATCTGTGAAATAGGAGCAAAATAAAATACCTGTAGTAACACCTCACTTTGTCATGAGGCTCAAACTAAATGGCATAGGCAGACAAACTTTAAAGGAGCATATAAATGTCACCTATTTTTGTTAAAAGAAACTAGTGGACTTGTGTAGACTCATTCAGAATAAGAAAAATAATATATACAATGGCTACAATAATATAAATGGAAGGTATACATAGCTAAACACCTCATTGGGACGTGAGGGAATAAGTGTGGAATACAGCATATACTGCCAGACACAGCTGCAGTATTTTGTTTTGGGTTTTTGTTTGTTTTTCCTTTTTCTTTTAAAATCTGTGTTAAAAGGGAAGTTTGGATAGCAGTGCAGAAGGGGAGGGCTATATTCAGATGTGATATAAAAACAAAAGACATCAATAAAAAAAGATAAAATTTTAAAATAATGAGAGAAACCAATGATACTACTTAGAAGATATTTTGTCTGTTTGGGATGATATAAAGCTACCTCAGGTGCCAGTAAGCCTCTCTAGTAGTGAGTAATACTTTCATGAAGGTCTAGCTTTCTATCCAAGGAAAGGTCTTTCAATTTATTGGTGTGCATAACGTTAAAAAAAAAAAGATAAACCCTTTTGTGCCTCATTTATCATCATCTGCTCTGTACACATATTAAGAAGACCTGGAGGTGTCTTTACAATTGAAGAATCCTTACTAAAGGATCCTTCCCTATATTTGGATAACTTCCCAGATTATACATTTTTTTTTTCATTTATGTCTTTAATGTACAATATGTTCTTTGCTCTCTGGAGAGGAAGCTTCTTCGGAAGGCAAAAAGAAAAGGGGAATGGGATGGGGGAGAAAAAAAAAAGACAAACATCTTTGAGCAGCTTCCCCACTCCAGCAAAGTTTCTTGAGGCATGCAAGGTTGGAGTAATGAAGTCCTCGATCTTTCTAACTTCCAGACATTGCTAATCTCAGCGCAAGAAAAAACTCAGATGCGAAAATTACACATGCATATGTGAGAAATAACTCATTCGGACTCAGGAGGGATGGAATTAAACCACAGTTTGTTACACAGTTGCAAAAGTACTGAATAGGCCCACACACCAAAGCACAGAGTTCACCATTTATTTCTAATCCCAGTCACAAAGTCCCTCCTCTGTTTCCTCATTGGCCAAGTACTCAAATGCTTACAACTTTCCGGTACACCTATTACACATCCACTCCTTGACATGTCTCCAACCTCCTACTTTATGCATCGCATTTTCAGAAAATGGCGTCTTAGCCCCGCCCAGAGGTGGAGAAGTTAGTATTCATGAGCCTATTAACCACGCCGCACTTAAGTAAAGCTTAACCTTTGTCCCACTTACTGACTTCTAACAGCAAAACAATCCCATTTTACTTAGTTTTCTAGCGGTTGTTTCAATTTTATGGAAACAAACATTTTCATTATATCTCTCACAGATAACCATCATTTCGCATTCCTTCCTTTTCTCCCTTTTGAAGCTATCTCTTGGAAACGCCCCTATCTTGTGAGGAGGACTTGAAGAGGTGTGTATACATCTATGCATGCATCTTCCACAGCTGCCCTTCTGGTAGAAGTGCAACAGCAGCAGCTGCCTCACCCTCTTCTCTCAAAGGTCCGACCTGGGTCTCACCTAACTGTATGGGAGCATCACTTTTGTGATTGACATCCAGAACTTGGGAAGGGGAGAGATGGAGAAAATACCTTTCTGTTTTCGAAATCTCAAGGGAAAAAGCCATCCTCTATTGCTGTCTCTAACTTTCATAGCACACAACCTTTATGCTATTTTGCTGAACTTGAATCTAAGGTAAGTTTTTGTTTTTGTTTTTTTAAGTTGCCAATGGTGGTAAAATTGCTGTTGTCGAGGAGACATTTTTATGGTGTCAGGATCGAAATTTTTTTTTTCAAGATCCAGGAGCTAGTGATTATATTTCCCTGGTTTAACATTCAGGAGCACCTACAACTTGAAAAGCACTGGAGATTTTATGCATCCTGCCATCTATTTTTTTATGTAAAATTACATTTTACTCTTTTTTTTTTAAAATTAGGGTAAGGTTGTTTTGAGGGAGTATTTTGCTTTATATTTGAACATGATGCTGTTACTAAGTCTAGAGACTGGAGGTCATGCCATATTTTCAACTGTGTGTAAGACGGTTTATTTTTACAACATTTTATTGAAGTGAAATAAAAATATTACATGAGAAAATCCTCAAAAACTTTCATTCAGTTGGGTTAATAAACACTTATTAAGAGCATACTACGTTTGCCCCAGACACTTGACACTTACTAGCTCTGTGAACCTGGGCAAGTCACTTAACCCCATTGGCTCACCAAAAAAAAAAAAGAAAGAAACAAACAAAGAGAAAGAAAAGAAAGAAAAAGAAAAGAAAAGAAAGAAAAAAAAGGAAAGGAAATGTGAGGACATAAAAAAAGAGCATACTATGTGCTGGGCACTGTGCTAAACACTGTAGAGATGAAGAAAGGCAAAAGAAATCCTAGCACTCAAGTAGCCCACAGTCTAATGAAGGGGACAAAGTGCACACGATTATGTACAAATCAGCTATATTCAAGCTACATTGGAGATAATAAACAGAGTGAAGACACTAGAACATGGTGGGGAACCTGCGACCTCCAGGCCACATGCAGCCCTCTAGGTCCTCAAATGCGATCCTTTGACTGAATCCAAACTTCACAGAGCAAATGAAGTTTGGATTCAGTCAAAGGGCTGCACTTGAGGACCTAGAGAGCCATGCATGGGCTGTAGGCCATAGGTTCCCCACCCCTGCACTAGAATTAAGGGGGATCAGGAAAGGTTTTCTGTAGAAAGTGGGATCTTAGCTAGTACCTGAAGGAAGCCGAGGACATTTGGACACTGTCATTTTCTCTTGCTGTTAGTTTGAGTGTCTGAAATATTTATAATGAATATTCATTTCTGATTCATTTCTAAGGAATCAACTACTGTTAATTACAGAATACAAGGTATTTGTATGAGGTTCCCCACATCCACATTATTAAAGATCTTTATTTTTCATTTTATACCATATGGTCATATGCCCCTACTTCTATATCTTCTGAGCCAGATAGTTACCATTTTATACATCACTTTCAAAAGGAAAGTCATATTATTTAAAGTTATGCTGACTCAGTGACACATTGTTCCCAGTCCTGCTTGTCAGTCAGTGTTGGGGGAGGCATCACCCACTCTGCAGTTTTTGTATTACCTACTATGTCTGCATCATGTAGCAGGTCATTGCCCACCTGTTAGCCCTTACTTCCTGGCGATTGGGGAAGAGCTGAGACACAGTGGTCCATCCCCTTTTACTGTCATGGACCTATTGGAATTGTCTTTACATCATTATGAAATTATCAATAAAAGCTGGCTACATCTTGAATCCCTTTCTGATCTCTAGTGATCAGCCCTTAAACATGATGCTACCTTGACATATTTTGAATAAACTTTAAAAATTCTCTTTTTTCCTGAATTTTGCCTCATTAGGGCAAAAGCCTGAACAAAGAATAGGAGAGAGAACATTGATTTAGAATCAGAAGACCTGGGTTAGAATCCTGGTTCCTCTACTTGCTGGTTATTCATGCTTCAATTCTCTGATCTGTAAAATGAGAAATTTGAATTAGATGATCTCTAAGATTTTATCAATGTGGATACTTCTTCAGTGTAGATACAGATTGTGACCTCTGGAACCTTAGCATCTAATATTCATAAATTACTGGGGCCAAAGTAATTTTATCATTTGATACTGATCTTCTGGTGATAAACCTTTCTGAAGTCAATGAGGTTCAGTGCTCAAATGACAGACACATAATTTGTCACCAGGCCCATACTCTCAGCCTTTTCCATTTGCTATGCCCTGTCAAAGCTTGTTCTCTTCTGGCATAGATGTCAGGAACCCAGAATAACTTCCATGCTAGGCAAAGTAGCAGAATAGGACTTCAGTTGAAGTTCTACTTTGTAAAATGTATAATTTTATTGAGCAATATTGCAGAGAATATAACTATAATGTTATAGTTATATTCTGTGCAATATTGCTCAATAAAATTTCAGAGTAGTTTAATCTTTCTATCTTCTACCTAGAGATTTGAAAATATATAAATTTAAATAGGAAAGTAGACTAGACATTGTATTGTAGGTGTATTTTATGTATCTGGGAGATGATGAGGAGAAACAGAGAAATGGAAGCCTGGCCTGTTGCAGTGATCAAAGGATGCCATTTCAAATGGGACCTGAACAATAGATAGAAATTGTGTCTGTAAATCAAGCAAACCAAGTTTTGTCAAGGGGATGAAGCAGTGGACTTGATCAGAATTCAAAGCATTGGATTTCAGATAAGAAAAAAACAGTTCTGGAGTAGGGAAAGATGAACGGAATGAGAGGCATGGGAACTTAGTCTGGGTGGGGAGACAATTTGCTTCAATTGTGGTTTATTGTCTAGAGAATGATATATAGTTGAATGGACAATATGTATAGCTGGTTGTTAGGTATGTATATCTTGGCCAGATGCTACAAATGGACAGTGAACTGGGCCTGGAGTTGAACAGAAAAATATTGTACTGTATTGCCTTTAGGAAATCATGTAGTATTTTTAAGGATCTCACCTTCTCCCTGAAACAAAGGCCAATCTTTTTAGCAAGAATAGTATTCCAGTGACATGATATGGCTCTGAATAATAGACTATAAAGATCTTCAAAAAATTTAAAGTTGAGAATCTTTCATTTTAATTAATAATTAATTTTTTGAAAGCAATTGAGATTAAGTGACTTGCCCAGGGTCACACAGCTAGTAAGTGTCAAGTGTTTGGTCTGAGGTCGAATTTGAACTCAGGTCCTCCTGACTTTAGTGCCGGTGCTCTATCCACTGTGCAGCCTTACTGCCCCATAGTTAAGTCTAATTTTAAAATGGCAGTAGAGAGGCATATAGTGAGCTTGAGCATTCAACAGCACATTACAAACGGAAAATTATTCAGACATGTCATTAAAGAAATGTATGACTGGGAAGAATGATAACTGGTCATAAAAGCAAGGGGTAGCCTGATGGACAGTTTGCATGCTCCATGGCTATCTAATATAATGTCAAGAGATCTATAGGAAGAAGGAAGGATCCTAGGGAAGGATTTATGAAAGGACACAGACAAGAGTTTCAGAGGATGGGTAAGCATGGATGGGTTGTGTTCTGCATTGGGGTATATTCACAACAGTAATATTACAGATCATTCAGGTAGGAAGGTCATTTTGCCTTCAGTGCCATCTTTTATGGCTGAGGAGGTACTTATTTCACACCAACATACAACATATGTACTCTGCTTGGTGCAGGGTAGCATTTTGTTCAGATAATACACAAGGAAAAGTGTGCTTATTCAGAGTACATAGTCAAAATATTTAAAACCATTATGCATAATCCACAAAGATAACTACGAGATTAAAAAACAATCCCCTTGAGGAAAAAAAGAAAAAATATTCTTACAGGCAATACCTCCTAGTATATTTGGTTACATGTAATTAAATAATTTTCTTGTCTTATGGCTGATTAAGCATTTCTAAGAATGAAATAAAAAATAGATATGCTTTTCCATTTTATAGGGTGTAGTAGAAGGGTGGATTATTGTAATTCTGAAGAAGGTTTATAAAGGGATAGGAAATTCATCCTCCTCGTATCTTGCCTTTGACACTACCTATGTAAATTTGGACAATTCATGGCCTCAGTTTCCTCTAATGCAAAATAAGTGGTTTAGATTACATAATCGGAAGGTACTTCCAGCTCTAAATCTACGATCTGTAATCCTATAGTATGTATATTCTCAAAGCTCTGGCAGGTGTGCTACCTAAGTACTCAAAGGGAGAATTGTAGTGAATTATCACTGTTCTATTTAACTTCTGTTGCTAAAATTTGGTAATTCCTTCATACAGAAAGGCTAGCTATCAGAAGCAAGGATATAGATACATAATGAATGTATACAATGATAGTATTGAAAGACTGGAAATACATCTGCATTGATATTATCACAATAAATTAAACCAGAAGACAAAGGTATTGCAAAATAGAAGTCTGGCTCATGGGTTCTCCCTGGAGAAACAAATAAAGGACCTAGCAAACTTGGTTTCATTCTTCACTCACAGATTTCAAGAAATACCAGGTCATGGAACTCTTGGTCATTGCACCTTGCAGTGTTCATGATGAGACAATATAGTGTTCCGAAGAAGCCGAAAGACCAGCAGGAAAGCAGTTGCAATTTATGTATCAAATTTTTGCAGAAGATGGAAAACTAGAGAAATTTGACAACTTGACAAAAATCTTCCTAACCAACGTATCCTTTGATACTTTGGTGAATTCAGTGCAAAAATAGGCAAAAGGGATGATAGCAAAAAGCATGTGAGAAAATGAGTCTGGGTTTAAGGAAGAAGAAAAAGGCTCGTTGATGCCTTAGCTTTCCATCTATATGTATGGTGTTGTGAAAACTTTCTTTTAGAAGAAAGTCAGAAAGTATTGGACATGGTAAAAACTGAATAAAATTTAAAGTATAATTGGCCATGTCTTTCTGGGAAATCATTGGCTATTGATGTAGAAATTATATCAGAATCAGTGTATTCATATATATATATGTATATATTGTCTTATATGTGTGTGTATTATATGGGAGACAAGCATATATCATTCATGTATATATATGTATATGACTGTGTTTTCATACACATATGAAAATATTTAAACAATCCCTGCTCACGAGAAGCTTATATTCTAGTTGAGGAGACAAGCACATATCATTAAATTTTTGTGCTTGTATCCTTAATGGCTACCACATTGCCTGGTTAGTATAGCTGGTGCTTGATTAATATTTGTTGGTTGATAAAATTATAATCATGTTTTTTGTTTTGATATTATTTCTGAATATTCCTTCTCACTAGTACTGTTCCTCTGTTGGGCCTTCTCTCCTGACAAAGGAAAATAGTTAAACAAAACCAACTGACACTGTGATTAAATCTAATATGGTATGCAACATTCCGCACCAGGAGCCATGTTTCACCACCAGCTCTCCATAATGAAGATGGGTCACCAGTATTACTCAGACTTAGGCTTCCCTTTAGTGTTCTTTTTTGTTTGCATCATTGTTGTCATTTTGTATATTGTTCTTTTGGTTCTCATTGATTGATTGATTCAAAGGTCATGAACAGTTTAATGACTTTTTATTATATAATTCTAAGTTGTTTTCCAGAACATTAGACCAATTCATACCTCTATCACTGGTGCATTAGTATGCCTGTTTTCCAACAATCTTTCCAACTATTTCTTTTATCATTTTTGTCAACTTGATGAGTGTGGAATAAAACCTCAGAGTTATTTTAATTTGCATTTCCTTATTGTAAATGATTGAGAGCAATCTTTCATATGGTTGTTGACAATTTAGAATTCTTTTTTTGAAAACTGAATTTTTTTGTATAATTTTACCATATATCCATGGGGAAAAATCATCTTTACCTTAAATATATCTAATATTTATGAGAATGACCTACACACACACACACATATATATATATATATGAGGTGTCCTTGGTGAAAAAAATATGAGAAAAAAATGCCTCTTGTCTAGACTATTACATGCAATTGAATTATTATATCAGGAAATATACTTAGAAGTGACTCAGATGGATGATGGCTTAGGCTCAGACTTGAAGATGAGAAAGAGAATAGTATGGACTGCGTTTAGGCAATTACATAATGGTCCCACAGTACTTCTCAGGGCAAAAACAACAACAAAACAAAAACCCAGCTTTTTAACACAAATGCTGTCCCAGAAATGTATGCTTACAAATCTTCAAACAAGCATCTCAAAAAACCCAAAGATGTCATTAATCAGTGGGAAATGGAAAAGACCATTGGTGGGTATAAGTAGTCTGAAAGGCTTTTCCATTGAAGAGCTATGTGCAAAAAGGGGGTTAAGGGAGATCAAGTAAGCATATAATTAAAAGATGAAAGAATTCGTGAAGTGAGATTGAGGGATAGCAAATAAACTATTACCGTAAGTACTGCATTAGTGCCCGAGTAATGTAAAAAGACCTAAAGGAAGTCTTCTGGCATATGGAATAGATGCTCTAGGAAGGATTTATAGAAAACTATAGCAGTTTGTAGGTCCATAGGCTCAGAATTTATATATTTCCTTTATTTCTTTTATAGTATATATGCTTCTGAAGGAAGCACCCTTTATTTCCTTTTTTTGAAAAAAATAATGTCAAGTGTACATGTAAAATACTTTTGTAGGTAGTGTATCTTAATATAATATTTGGCTATTTTTGCGGTTGATTTCTTTTAATAATAATATTTAAATCTGATTCACACTTGGAAAATCAGTGTAATAATGATCAACAATCATTAGGGTGTGAATTACCTTAAACTCAGTTTTCTGACCCACGATTTGGTAACCCTGGTTCACAAAGAACTATGAAAGAGGAGAAAATTGTTATAGCCTTTTCTGGAAACAGTGTTCTGCATATATCAAACACTAGTTTATAACGTCACATTTGAACTTCCAACCTCCCGATTAGTTTCCTGCCTTCCCTGTGAATCTTCCTTCCCTTACAATGAAAACCACACACTGCGGTCACTTCCTAAATCCCCTAAAATCCTGCTTTTCACATATCACTTCCCTTCTCAAATACCTTTAATGGTTCCCCATTGCCTATTGAAAATAAAGTCTAAACCTCTTAGTCTAGTATTTAAGGCCTTAAACTCTAGCCCCAAACTATTTCTCCAACTTTATCTTTCCTTAATCTGAAACTTGACCCTTTTGTGCCAATCAGACAGGTTTACTCACTGTTCGCCAAACATGCCCTGATTATTCTGACCCCTGCACCAATCTCTTTCTTGGAAACACCCCTCACCCTCTCCCTCTCTTCTCTTCGCTAATATAAATCCTATACTATCTTCAAGGTTCATTTCAACCCCCAGCTCCTGTGCAAAATCCTCCTGCAGCTTTTTCAGCCCCAAATGCTTTCTTCTTCTGAACTATTAAAGTGGTATAGACATTTACTCTCAGGTACTGTCTAGACCACTTGTTCCACCTTTAGCATATGAAACCTTGCATTGCTATTTACTTTTTATTTATATCATCTGTTTTCTTTCCTGGCTAGATTGTATATATCTTGGCAACATATGTTTTTGTCATTTTGTTTGCAGCTACATAAAATAAATACTTTTTGTTTGTAGGTAATGGTTGAAAATGAAGATGTAGTTCCATACAAAAGATGTAGTTCACATACAAAAAGAGGGCCATGGATGTTTCCTCCTCAACTCCAGTTTGACTCATTGATCAGCATGATCTCACAAGACAGAAACACAAAGCAAAAAGATTCTAGACAAGAAGTGGAAGAAATCCATTTTTGACGCCTTTAAAAGGAACTTTACCCCCATTTCTACCAGTGTCAGACTAATGAATATTAGTGCAGCAATGCTGTGTAGTCTACTCTTGCTCCCTTGGAGACATAAAATCTTGCTTCTCTCTTACTGACTTCATCAGTGGATTTCCTTCTTATCTCTCAGAGTCATATGATTTCGAACTAGAAAGAAACTTTAAGATCATTGAGACCAATGTGTTCTTATAAATGGGGAAACTGAGTCTCCACAGAGTTTTAAGTGACTCAGCAAGACTCTGCAGTAGATAGAGTGGTGAACTTGAAGCTAGGAAGACCTGAGTTTAAACCTTGCCTTAGATACCTACTAGCTGTGTGACCCTGGGTAGATCACTTAACCCCTTTGTAGATGTTTCCTTTATAAAAATGGGGCTAATAATAGTACTTACCTCACAGGGCTATTATGAAAATCAAATGAGATAATATATGTAAAGTGTTTTATAAATTTTAAATCTTTATGTAAAAGGTAGTTATCATCATCATCATCATCAGTAGCTGATTAGAAGCAGAATTAAAAAATAGGCCTTCTGACTCCAAATCTAGTGCTCTAGCTACTACACTACAGGGATCCTATCACTCTCACAGTGAAAACCCATTAAATTATCAACCATATTTGTATAGGAGAACTGATCTTTAAGTAACCCACAGTCCGTAAAGGCCCAAATGTCATCACAAGGTATTAGACTAATTTATAACTATACCCAAATCCCTTTATGAAGTGTGAATCTTTTTTTTTCTCATGAGTTAAAAAGGGAATAACTAGACTGATTGAATAAAAGGGACTGGTTTTTGCTGTTGTTTATTTTGCCTTTCTTTGTATCCTGAGTGTTTAGCACAGTGCCTGAACATGGGCTTAATAAATGATTGTTGACTGATTGCAAACAAACTAGACACACAGATTTCAAATAGTTAAGCCTTGGGAAGTTTGAGAGAATTCCAAGTGGAAGAAGAGGAGGAGGAGGAAGAAGAGGAGGAGGAGGAGGAAGGGGAGGAAGAGGAAGAGGAGCTGCAACAGCAGCAGCAATAGCAGCAACAACAATTAAGCCCCAAGAGAGAAACTCTGTCTTCCCCTTCCTATTGGCAATGTAGCTTGGAAAGGCAACTACTTGAGCAGTAGGACACCCTGTAAGGGGCAGAAACACATATTCCAGATAGAAAGATACAGAGAGATAATCACTTGAAGGAGAAAGTATCTTCAAGGAATGGATCTCCTGGCAATAGAGAAGAGAATATGTTATGGAAGAAGTGGAAACCAGCAGCATAGCTGAGCAATACACTCAGCTGAGACATTGTCCCCAAAGTGAGTCAAGACAATACAAAGAGAGCAAGGAGTCTGAGATTCTGTCTTTGCCACCTTTGTATCTACTTGTATGCTTCACTACCACTACATTCTTAAGTTTGGGCCCACCCTTCCCATGAACAGTGATTTATAGGGTGAATGTTTGTGCTATTTTTACTATGCTACTTTAGTAAATGCCTCTGCTAAGAACTAAGTGTGTCCACTGGCTGATTGTTACGAGAAACGTAACTGGTGGCTCATGGGCTAATATGTTAAGAGTAAGCATGAATAGTGTACATACACTTTTAATCCCCAAGTAGCAGCCACCCTCTGGAGATTTAACCTGCAAGTTGGAGGAGTATGCTGGGGGGGGGGGGATGCTATAGGACTTGGAGTCCTGAATCACTTTTGCCACTTAATAGCTAGCATTTATACAGTGTGTTAAGGTTTTCAAAGCACTTTTATGTTTGTATGTTATTTCAGTTGATCCTTACAACAACCCTGGGACATAGGTGTTAGTTTTATCTCCATTTTGCATATGAGAAGACTGAGACTGAAAAAGGTTAAGTGACTTCTCCAGCCTCACACAGTTAGGATCTGAGATAGGATGTGAACTGAGATCTTTCCAACTCCAAGTTCTGTGCTCTCTCTACTACATCGCATGCATATCCTACACATATGCCTCACTAACATTGTCCTCTAAGTTGGCATCCAGTCTTCCCATGAACACTATACATCTTTATAGTAGAATATACTGCAGATTTATGGGAAGGTATGTTTTGTAGCTACTGATTTTACTATGTCATCTTAGTAAATGCCTTCGCTAAGAACTAATTGTGTCTCTTGACTGATTATTAATGTGAAGTTGACCAGAGAAGGTTTTTGACCTATGTTATTAGAAGAGTGGTGCCGTGGACTACTTGAAGAATCTCTTGGGAATAGCCCCTCTCTGTGGGAAATAGCTCAGAGGGGTGCTATACTTACCATACAAATAGTAACACTTGTGAAGTAGTATGTCACAGTATAAAAGGCAGCAACAGCATATGTGTGTATGCAAATCTGAATTCAATACATAAATTCATTCATTCATTTAAAATGAGTATCACATAAGTGTATTTTCTTGAAAACTATCTATCCTACTAATTTTATAAACATGTATGGTGTAGATGCAGCTTGCAATAATATCTATTTTAGTCTCTAGATGGCAGCATGTTCTAAGGAATCAGCATATACTTTGTCGTATAACCAAAATATATGGGAAATATATCTTTCCCTTAAGCTCTCCTGAGGAATAGTACAGAGTACCAGGAAGATTTTCATTTAATTTAATACAAGTAAGACTTTTGTACCAATCTTCATCACAGGGTTTTTTTTTTCATATCATCCTGGTTTAATGAAAGACAGTGTAGAAAACTAGGTTGTTAATAGAGAAATGCCTCAGCAAAGCTTGTTTCCCATTTTCATTTATGTTTTTGGTACCTGTTTTCACTTATCCATTTGTAAAACAAATCTACAACAACTAGACAAGACAGTGTTCTTTCCTCACATGGACATGCCCAGTCATTTATATAATTGGACCCTGGTAGATAAAAGTGAGAGTTATGATTCTAACTTTTAGCTGAAGTTCACCCTTACTTCTTTTATCATCATTATTGAATTTCCATGTCCAGACTAAGCCTAGAGGCGTCAAGCACCCCTTTCAGCATTTTTATGCATCTTGTCATCCATTGGCTTCTGTATTCCTGACCTCTTTTTTTCCCAAGATTTCTTTAGATTTTATATTTCTAGTGACTTCTGGTGTTTTATTTGTTTAATATCCCTAATCTTTTTTTTATTTAAATTCCCCCCTAAAAATCAAGGTACCCTCTACTTTTAACTAGAGTAAACACTATTATTCAGTAGCATTGTGATAGTAAATTATTTGATATCTTTCCTTCTTTTTCTGTGGATGCCTAGGTTCAGGCTATCTCACTTTCCTGTAAGCAAGGAGAAAGAAATAAAATGAAATCTAGTCCATTTTGCTACTTGCTAACATTGCTAGTCTATGTCCAGTGATGGGCAGGTTGAAGCAGTTGGTTAAGATGAAGTATTTTGATAGCATGTAACCTTCATTTATCTTTATATCACCTCTGTTTCCTCTTAGGATGGCTTCATGTGAGAAGAGGCTTTTAAGTCACCATTTTTTTTAATGAAAGAAAATTTAGATGGCATGTCATCAGTATTGTAGATTTACAAAAAAAAATCATTAAAGAGTAGCAGCTTATCAAGGAAATAAAACAATGAAGAGGCCAGTAAATATAAATACAGGAGTGTCAACTTTCAAATGACCTTGTCCATAGGATTTTTTTAAAAGTAAAAATCATTAGTTATAGTGGAAACTTTTATGAAGAAAAAAACATCTCCCTTCCCCAGAAAAAACATCTCAAAAGGAAAGGTTGGGTTTTTGTTGTTGTTGTTCTGTTTTCTCTTGGTATTGCTTCTTTTCCTGCCTAATACAGAGGCAGGGGACTTGGTTGACTATTTCTTGATCCCCATATGTACTCCTGCTCCAACTGAAAGGATAAAAGGAGGAACAGAGTAGGCAGAGCCCTGACTGAGACTTTGACACAGGGCTCCAAAGTTTATAGGGTGCCAAAAGCTCTTTACAATGATCTCACTGTATCCCTGACCTAGCATCAATAGTCTTCTCTCTCCCTTCCCACAAATGCATGTCTTTCAACATTAAGTTGAGCAAACTTTTTGTTATATTCA